TGCCTTCTCCTCGTTATATCCCGCACCTTCTTTTTATTTTTTATTCCATCCCATTTTCTTTTCTGACCTGTTCTCCATTTGTCAAGATAGCCCACTTCTTCTGTGTCTCCCGCACTCCTCTCTTTCTTTTATTCTCACGCTGCCAACCCCACTATGCAGTGCTTTCTCCTTTTTCCCGCAAGTCTGCCCGTATGCCTTTGACCTCTCTCCAATCTTTATTTTTCTACCTCCGCACTTCTCAGTGCTCTCTCTCCACTCTGGTTTATATTCCATCTTTTATTTTCTTATTCTTTCCACCAGCCCCTTTCCACTCTGTCCGTGCCCTCTCATTCTTTTACAAAACATTCAAACATCATTATTATTATTTATTTATTATTATATATATTTTTTTAATTTTATTTAAAGGCTGATCTACACAGACAGTTTTGACGAATTTATTACATAAAATTTCACTTGTTCTATTTTTATTTTCTTTGCATAACAAATCCTATAAACACAAAAATAACGTAAATAGCTCAAAAATATAAGGAACTAACTAAGAAAAGACGAGTGAATTCGAAGTAAAAATATATATAAATATGATCCGATCAAGAAGTCAAATAGGCTTTAATGCTGTCGAAAGCCTTTTGGTGTGGTGGTCCCCATTCAAAATTTTCTTTATCCTTCAGTCTTAGCAAATGAGTTAGCGGCTGGATCTTGCTTGCTAAATTGGCAATGAATCTTCTCAAGAAATTAATTTTGCCTAGCAGCTTCTGAAGTTGCACTTTGTTAGTGGGTGAAGGCGACTCCATTATTGCTCGAGATTTGTTTTTTCCACTTCTACACCTCTTTGATGAACCAGAAATCCCAAGAAGTTGCCTGCTCTTACTCCAAACGCGCATTTCTTTGGATTCATCTTCAATTTGTGGATCCTCATTCTTGTTAATGCTTGCCTGAGGTCTACCAGATGTTGCTCTTCTGTTTTGGATTTCACCACAATGTCATCAATATACACCTCCATGTTATGGCCAATCAGATCATGAAAGATGGCATTCATTGCCCTTTGGTAGGTCACACCAGCGTTCTTGAGCCCGAATGGCATGACCAGATATTCATATGCCCCCACATGCCCAGGACACCTAAAAGCTGTTTTATGTATATCCTCCGGAGCCATCTTTATCTAATTATACCTGGCATTTCCATCCATAAAAGATAAGACTTTGTGTTTTGCTACTGCATCTATGCATAGATCTGCCATAGGCATGGGATACTCATCTTTTGGTGTAGCGCCATTAATATTTCTGTAATCAACATAACATCGTACTGCTTTTGTTATGGCCTTTAAAATGGGTACAATGTTGGCTAACCACTCTACATATTTGGCTGGCCTGATAAATCCAGCTTTTACTAGCCTCTCAAATTCTTCTTTGACTTTTTCTTCTATCTCCTTTGACATCCTTCGCGGTGCTTGCTTAACAGGTTTATATCCCTCCTTGATGGGCATTCTGTGTTCCACCAAGGTTGAATCTAAACCTGGCATCTCAGTATAATGCCAAGCAAAACAATCTTTAAATTCTTGCAAAAGACAGATAATCTTTGCCCGATCATTAGTCTCTAATAAACCACTGATTTGTATTGGTCTTGGATCTTCCTCTGTCCCTAGATCAATAACTTCTAGAGGATCCTGAACTTCTGGTGATGGCTTATCAGGTTCTGCACACAAAAATTCGACTAACTCTAAGCTCTCGGCCAAGCTGTCTGGCCCATCTAGGTCATATATGCACTCGGCCATTTGGATGGCCTTCTCCAATTCTTCTCTACAAGATTCCTTCATGCTTTCATCCTGGCTGGTTGAAGCTCCTAGCTGCCAATCCTACTCTTCTTTGTCTAAGAGCTCCATTTCTTGCTTTCTTCATTTCCCATACACCAACAGTCTTTTGATCAGGGACCTGACTGCCATTACGTGACCCTTCCTCTTTTGTTCTGTCATTGATGGTGTAGGGGTGTTGGGACGATACAAGGTCTATCCCACTCTTCTCTAGTAATGAGCATTCCTTGTTCTAGAAACTTTTGGGCCGTCACCTTGGTAGGGCGACCGTTCTTATCTGCTCCTGAACATTTCAGAATTCCTACACCTTGGGAGCAGCCTCTCCATAAATGGGGGTAAGGCTAGCCGACATTCACCTCTCCCAGACCCTGCGTAAAGCGGGAGCCTTGTGCACTGGGTACGACCGACCTACGTTGGGATTGTAGAAACTTGCTTCAGCAACATTGGCTGTGGGAAGAAATGGCTGTGATTCGGCCTCTACCATCTCCTAAAAGCCTGGTCCCTCCGTTCCTGCCTCATGATAAACAGCCACTTGCTGATGAAGAGTGGAGGGTATGGCAAGACTTTGGTGGATCCAATCCCTTCCAAGTAAGGCTCCATAGGTGGAAGTGCAATCTACCACAAAGAATGCCAGCATGATCTGTTTAAACCCCAAATCCACTTCTAAAGGCAATATCCCATGAGTCTTGGTGATGGCGCCCGAGAAGCTTGAAATTGTGAGGTCTGTAGGAATAAGATCTTATGTGCCTCTCCCCAAATTTTTCATTTGCTTGGCCAGTAGTACATTAACAGCCTCTCCTCCATCAATTAAAATCCTTTTGAAGGGCACCCCTTCCAAATGAGCTGTAACATATATGGGCTTAAAATGATTAGCAAGCGAAATGTTCGGGCGGCTGAACACCATTTTGTCTGTATAGATCCTTAAAGGACCATCCTTGGATGCTTCAGATGATTAAGCTTTTCCTGATTCTCCCTCTTCAGCTATCTCCACATTGACATGGGCCATCATTGGCTCAGTTGTTATGTAGTCACCTTCCATAGTGGCGGGCTGATTAGGTTTGGCACCAAACATGGCGGATAGCACATACGCCATGTTGATATGAAAATTGCTATACTCTGGCAGTTCTTCCTTCTTGCTCCCAATCTGATCCATGAACTCGTCTAACCAAGCCATCGTATATGCTGGAAGCAGTGGTTCTAGTGCCCCCTCATGTTGATTCATGCCTGAACATGGTGTTTGCTTTGGAACCTCACCGAAAGGATCCACTAATGATAGAGAAGGTGGTTTTCTTTCAGGCGAAACAGTTCCAAAGCAACTAGGCTCTGTCTTCCATTCCGGAGTTGGCACCATGATCATATCTTCTTGAGCTCTCTTCAAGATCCTATATTTCCCAGGATGTAGGCTTTGTGGTACATGGTCTCCCTTGCCTTCTGTCTTGCTATTAGCCTTTTCCACCTCTTTTTTACTCCTCCAGCGGAACTGACTACTTCCCTCAGATGACGTTTTTTTCTAACTTTTAATTCTTGGATGCTTCAGACGTCGCAGGGGTCTTTAAGGAGTTCATGTAGGCTTTGTGTTGCCTTTGGACCCTTCTGACCATGGAGGCTCCCATTTGTTTAACGGGCTGTCCATTTTTCCCAACCATGTACCATTTTCGCCCGAGGCGGGTAGGGTTATCTTTTTTGACAGGATTTGTTATCCTATCATTCCTCTTGACTTATCTTCCCATATGACCGTACTGAGAACGCTCTATACCCCTCTCTTTCGGCTTTTTGGCATCTTTATTTTCTGCCTCCTTAGAAACTTTATGATTGCCAAATATCTCTGATAAAGCTCTCGGTTGGGAATCGCCTCCTAACCGCTGAAGAACACTTCGGGAGGTATCTCTTCCTGCGGTCCGTCCGACTTTTTCACGAGCCTCATTTCTTTCTTCTTCTTTTTTCCTCCTGATTAGCTCATGATCCATGAGGACTCCTGCGGGTAGTATTTCGAGCTCACACTCGCATTGGCATTTACTGCACAGAACCATCCCTTTGATTATGGCTGCTTTTGGATGTTCGGGCAATTTGATCACTCCTTTTATAGATCTATCAGCCAGTCTTCCTTTTTTTACTTCCCTTGTGACCTTTTCTTTTCCCTTCTCAGCCCATGCAATACTGATCATATTTACTGGGGCCTCTGAGAAGGGATCCGCAGGTTTGTCCATCACTGCTTCCTCTGGCTGGTTGGTTTTAAATCTCCTTTTCTCCCTATCATCTTTTTCCCCAAGTTGAGGTAAAGATGTTGACATGTGTCGTGCTGTGATTAGCCTTCTGGTTGGAGGGAAACTCTTATGCTTCGGCAGGGGTGCCTCAGCATGAACCCCTCAGTGGATCCTTGAAGGTATGAAGTTGACCGGTACTTGACAATTTCGGGATTTGTATGTAAAACTGCAACAATCTTGAGACAATTTTAATACTCAAGATCAACACACAAATGCAAATGAACCCACCAGAAACAACGACAAGCCAGTAATTGCAGAATCAACAGTCTTATGAATACGAAACAAGAAACCCCCAAATCTTAGGGTTACAGATTTCAGAGAATCGTAAACAATGCACAGATCAAAAACGTTGAGCAGAAAGAAATGAAAGAATCAACAAAACCTGATGCTTGAAGGTGATCAAGAACCCAACAATTCAATTGACGAAAAAACCATCAACAAATCACTGACAATCCAGTACGACTAGTAAGCAAAAAACCAATACGCAACCGAAGAAGGCGAAAAACTAATGACCGGAGATGTCACCAACTACCGATCACAAACGGAGATGAGTAGTGAAAGCATGAAGGATCGTCAACCGAAGGCGTGAGCCACTCTCGGCAAAGATACCTGACAACAATGTAATTGAGAGCTAAGTAAACAAGCGAGAGAAAGTAGAGAGGGAAAGTTTGCTAAAACTAAATATTCTCCTTCATTCAACTTGTGTAGAATAATTACAACAGTTGGTATTTATACATTAGTAAAACACCTCTCTACTAACTAACTAAGACCACTACCAATAATACATAAACACTTGTCATAATCCTATGCAATCATAATCTCATCAACTCTATCCACACCCTCTTACAGAAGTTACCATTTTGTATGTAAATTCTCCACCTTTTTCATGTTCTAGTTGTTGGGTTTATTGTAATTCTTATAATGTGGGTTGTTCTTGTTGTTGATGTTAACTTACCATTTTGTATGTAAATTCTCCACTTTTTTTCATGTTGTAATTTTTAGGTTTGTTTTATTTAATGTTTTTAGTGTTTTCTAATGTGGATTGTTCTTGTTGTTGATGTTGATCAGCGGAGGAGTACTGCCACTCGGATGCAGGGTGACAGTGAAGATTACGAGTTGAAGCAAATGAGGGATATGGCTGCTGCCAAAAAGAGATGGGAAGCTCTGGTATGTTGCTCGATTCCTACGAAATTCGAAGACAGAAAAACAAAACGACTTTTTGTGTAAATTGTGTTTAAGTGAGCTACTTAATGGGAATTTGAGAAAAGAAAGTAAAATTCTTTTAGTTCAACTATTTTGTTTTTAGAGGTTGTATAATTTGTTCTGCGCATGCTAAATTTGAAAATATTGTCTGATAGCAGGTATGTCAGAAAAACCTTTTCTGGGTTCAAGGAGGTAGAGGCTGCTGAAGAAGAGGTAGTCTTGGTTTTAGTGTTTAGATATTCTTTTTTGCATATTTTCTTTTTCGGTGCTTTTGTTGTGAACCAAACTGAAAAAGTCTGTTAATGTAGTGAGTCTCATCTTATGTGGGAGCAGGATCTTGCCAGAGAAGGCCCTCTGCCATTTAAGTTTGCTGGAATTGGTGGGCTTTTAGAATTCCTTGGGTAACTATCTGGTCTTGCTCACTTTTCGTTATCATTGGTAACTACGTCGTAGTGATGCACACCGAACTTTTATTTCTGATGCATATTAGAATACAATTTGAAGACAGTTCTTATACAGATTTATCAGAAAGTACATTTATTTCTGCCCTGCTGCAGCTGCCAAAGAAGGTTGGAGTTACCGATTAGTGTTCTCTGCCCGGCTGGTACTTATTATCTTCAACATGTTTACAAAACGGCCTGCTTTTAGTCACCTAACTTTCAAGCATCTAATTTCAATTTGAACGATTTTTTTGGCACAGGTCAGAGTCATTCTCCTTGCCGATACCTTGTTTCTTGGTGCTCAGCAATTTGGACATTATCTTCAGGATACAAGGTCACTCTGAGGTTAAACACTTGTGCTTGAAGTACTTGATTGTATATCAAGATACAACATTTTGCAGTACTGGTTCACCAGAAATAATAGATTTTCCAAGGATAACAATTTTGGAAGCCACAGTGCCTCAGAAAGAAGCTTGTATCCTCCATATCAACCATATATCACTCCGTTCTCATTAGGGTTCCATGCTTTTCAATGAAGTGGATCTATTCATTGAAAAGCATGACTGAGCCAGCAAATTTTGTAAGGCAGTTATGCCTTGTAAAACAAGTTCTAGCCTAGTACTAGTTGTTTTTCCTCTCGTAATGGTTTTATGGCCTAGCAATGTATACGTCCTGTGAATTCTACTATTAATTATTTTCTTTTATGAATCAATATAGATTGCACAGAACTTGAATAAATTCTTATGCATGCCGCGGCAAGCAGGGAACCATCTTGTTCTTCCTTGCATTGCCTTTAAAGCTGTGCTCTCAACTGCATAAATTATGGAACCACTTACTATGTAGATTTTGATTTTACCCTTGTGAAGCTATGAAATTATAATTGTTCTTTGAAACCAACCTTGACATTGCATTTAGACACCAATCAGGGTAAAGGAGGGGAAAACGGGAAGGAAAATCATGTCTCATAGAGAAAAAAGGCAAGTACAATTTATTCCATTTACTTTAGGAGTCTGCATCTGAGATATTGGCTAAAGACAATGCGTGAATCTTCTTGTCTCTTATATGAAATCAGAGGCAGTTGGATGATACATAGATTATCATGTTGTTTATTTATGATTTCTTGTCTCAGGGAAACCGTGGTCTGGCGACAACAAACAGATTGGCTATCCTGTGCATTGTGATACCAAAAACTTCTGCCAGGTCCAAATCTTTAGATGTAGTACCCGGAGGAAGCGCCCAATCAAAGCTATGCAGAAGTTGAGCTAGAGCAAGCTCAGTGGTTGCTGTTCCAAACGTAATAGCTGGACAAATTCTTCTACCAGCCCCAAAAGGTAAAAGCTCATAATGCTGCCCCTTGAAGTCTATAGTGCTACCTATGAATCTTTCTGGTTCAAACGTTTCTGGATTTTCCCAAGATTCTGGGTCCCTCCCTATTGCCCAGGCATTGACAAAAATTCTTGTTTTGGCTGGAATATCATACCCATCAATGCTTACATCTTCCATGGATTCTCTAGGGAGTAGTACTGGAGCAGGTGGATGCAATCTAAATATCTCTTTGATGACAGCTTTCAGGTAGTCCAGCTGAGGCAGATCACTCTCTAACACGACCCTTCTTTCTCCAACAATTCCTCGTACTTCTGCTTGCGCTCTTCCCAGTACTTTGGGGTTCATCAAAAGCTCTGCCATTCCCCAATCAAGGGTGATGAAAGTTGTGTCAGTTCCTGCAGCAAACATGTCCTGCAGCAGCAGCAGTTCCTATTGTTAGCTTCTTTGCAAACAGCTAAGTGGAATTCATATTTAAAGTAATAAGGGATATCTCGGCTATTGAATATATATTTAAGCAACCATGAGTCTACACCGACCAAGATAATAGCCTTGACATTATCCATGGTGAGAGGTATTTCAGCAGATTCACTTTTCTGTATGTCAAGTAAAACATCTACGAGATCCTTGTGCTTCTCTTTTTCTCTGTTGGGATTGAGATGATCAGTCACCATCTGGTCGAAAAGTTCATCAAAGCGCCGGAAGGTCTCTTGAAGTCTCGATTTCATTCCTGTTAAGCTGTGTATGAACTCCATGGAAGGGAAGAAATCTCCAATAGAAAATCCTCCAAGCAATTCCTGGTATTCCTCGAGCATCTTTTGGAACCCATGCCGATCATAGTCTCCACCTTCTGAAAAACCCCTTCCAAATGCTACTCGACAGAGAACATCATTTGCATACAATCCAAGTATCTTGCTCAGATTGGTGGTGCCGGGATAAGATTCTGCAACCCGACAAACCAGACGAGCAACTTCTTCTTCTCTAACATGGCTATAAGATTGCACACGTTTGGCACTTAGTAGCTCAAGTATGCAAATTTTACGGATATGCCTCCAATAAGCGCTGTAAGGGGAGAAGGCAACATCTGTACAATTATAGAAGAGGTGTTTGGCAGAAAAGATTTGTGGACGGCTTGATAGCGCAAGGTCATGGGTTTTCAGTACTTCCTTGGCTACTCTAGCCGATGAAACCACCACAGTAGGGACCTCACCAAGTTGTAAGTAAATTAGTGGACCATACTTCTCTGCCAAGCCGCAAAGAGATATGTGAGGTTTGTTTCTGAGCTGGTGAAGGTTACCGATGACAGGCAGCTTCGGAGGGCTTGGTGGAAGTTTGAGTTTTCTTTTCCCTGACTTATCCTTAAAGAAAAACTTGAGCAACAATATGAGGAAACTGAATGCAAGAAGCAAAGAGGGTTCCTTTAGCAATTGAAGAAGAGCCATTGGAAACCAAAATTCAGTGCCTCGGAGTTTTTCTTTAGCTTCTGGTATGGCCCCCCTGTTGCAGTAATCAATTTAAATAGACGGACACTTGCTTTTGGTGGCACTAGCACCTAGTAGTCATCAATCGGCAAGGAAGCCACCTCAATTATTTTGTACCATTCATATTTTCCACCTTGTTTTCTAACAAATATGCCAAAAAAATCCTTATCTTCTTTTCTGTTTGCAGTGATAGTTACGGATGGTGATACAATGTGGTCCTGAAAGTAAGCATGCCTCTAGCAATGACGTAACAGTTAGTACTTATCATAATCTCAGTACAGGAACATACTAATTACCACACGCATATGGAATGGTAACGGGGAAACAAAGTATTCCACAGGGCAACTTCTCTCAGGAAATACCGGCTTCTGTGATAGTGTGAGATTTGAATGATTCAGCATTCATCGATATAGTCACATCAAAATAAATACATTTGGTGTGCAATAGTGTAACGACCCATCCCTAAATATTACGGTTCTTATAATTTTAAAATGTGAATTTACAAAAATACCCATCGAGGTAAAAACGTTGACTTTTGTTGACCGCTATGTCATGTCACGTAAAATCTGTTTTCTTGTCATATCCTTGTAGTACTCATTGCTATGAGCGTGTGGGTGCAAGCGAATCGGATTTGGAGTTACGGTGAATATTTTACAGAATTTCTAAGTTGAGGGGCAAAATAGTCAATTCACTGTTCTAGATTTTGGGGTGGGATATTTGTCTTATTTTATTATTTTCTGATGACCCGTAGGGCCCACACCCCACGTCTTCCCTATGTCCTTCCCTCCCTCAAGCTCTGGGACACTCTTGAACTCTCCCTCACCTTTCTTTTCTGCAACTCTCTCCTTCTTCATTCTTGAGCACGACACACACACACACATGCAAACAAACAACAACAACAATGACCTCATCACCATCACTCTTTTTTCCCTCAAATTCACTCAGCTCCCTCTCTCTTCATCTAGCTTCTCTTTGTACAAGGGAGCACATCGACAACACCTCGCCATACTCCCGCAAGCTTCTTGAATCTTTGACCAAGGTAAACCCCTGGAACCCCATAGATTGTGTTTAGTATTGGATTAAGGTAGTTTAGGAGTTAATCATGCGTGTGGATGCAGAAAACACTTCGGGAGAAACTTTCTCCAGTTTCCCGCGAGGACCCGTGCCTTCCAAGCCATTTTCCGGCAAACTCCTTCCACTATCGAGGAAACCAAAGGTATATTCCGACGCCTTGTTTCTCAGGTTTCATTTTGATATATTAGATTGCTATTTTTAGTTAAGATTTGAGGTTGATCGGAGCTTGAGAAGCTTCGGCTTTCTTCTTCATGGAATCCAACCTGAAATTGGGTCGACTCGACCCACAACCCAATCTGCACTCAACCATTGTCTAGGCCCAATCCCTTAACCTAGTAACCCAGGCCCTAAAACCCTTGGCCCATTAACCCTAACTCGGCCTAACCTAGCAAACCCGGTCCAACCCTTCAAACCCAAGCCCAGATTCGACCGAATTCGACCCGACCCGAGCCAGAACCCAGTTTCCACGGTTGGCACGTGGGTCCGCTACCCTTCAGCCAACTTTCCGGCGACCCAACTCGGTGCGTGGCATGTGGGGTGGCACGTGACCATCGGGCCGCCGTCCCGTGGCGGCGAGTGCGGCAGCGCGTAAGGGAACTCGAAGTCCTTCATTAGGTTTTTCGACGTGCCGAATCCAAATCCGCTGTTCGTTTTCCCAAATTCTATCGTTTTAGCAGAGTTTTACTAAATGGCCGTTATATGTGATTAGGTGCATCGATGGGAAGTGACTTTATCTTCGCTAACTCAAGCGGCTCCCGGGCAACAAAATATCTGTAAGTGGACCCTTTCTTAATTGCATGTTTTTATAAAATATTAGGTTTGCATGCATTTCATATTTCATGATTCGAATATGTTTCCTATTATGTTTTATGGATTTCTATATTTATGGTTTACGGAGAATTTATGATTTATTTTAATTGCTTTTATAAAATATTTATGATTTATCGAATTTACATTTTTCTAAAGGTTATGGAATATTGGGTTTTCGTATGAAATTCTATGGATTACAAATATGATTTATTTTATGGATTTATGAATATGAGTTATCATGGATTTATGAGATGAGGCTTTAAGCTTTTGAGCTCCAAAGTTGATATGAGATTTTTGAGGCATGTTTTCGGTGCTTATTTAGCGGGTTATCATACAACACATCCACACAACACGGGTATGTAAACGTCTATGGCCATATGACACAATTGAGGATATTTATGATATACCCTCAGCTTTATTGGCGAAACTAGTGTCGTACAACTTCACCTTCAGGTGATGGATAGGTATTGCCTTCGGGCGACTATGATACCCCTAGAGAGTACAATATTGGTGAGATTTATGGATTTGCCTTCGGGTGACGATAGCACCATTAATGAGCATTGTTTTACGAACGATTTCATGGCATGCTAGAGTTTTCAGAAAACTTACTATATGCAGTACTATATGTGTTTTCAAAACAGGGGGTTAGTATGTTTAGAAAGAAATCGGTTTTCGTATTATTAGTATTACTATAAATCTATGGTCCCCTCACCTTTTCTATTTTTGCGCCCCCTCAGGAATTAGAATTGAGGCATATAGTACCGGCGTTAGGGCAATTCCGCATAGGGATCTTCAAGTCTTCTTAAGGTAGGACCCATTCCTTTGTTCATACCTTTTTATAATAATTCTTTCATAGTATTCTTGAGTAGTTGTATGCTCTAAACACGGTTCTACATTAATGTATCTCTTCCTGATTACTTATTTTAGTTGTATGCATGTTTTAAATGGCTTCACCACCCTCGGGTGTTGGCCAACATGTGCCTATCCTGATATTTGGGGATATTGGGATCGGGGCATGTCAACTAAGGGATATTGGGATTGGGGGATGTCAACTAGCGCACGTTCTCTCTATATGATCTAAGACTTGGTTTACAATGCGAGTTCAAAGTTCTTAGTCCATTAATTGTCCTTTCTGGTAGAGACACTTAGCGTACACGAGATGACAATCAAGGTTCGGAATAATGAATACTGTGTGATGTTCGTCCCACCCTAGATGCAGCCAATTTGTGTCAACAAGGGAGCTTTCCCTTTTACACATAAACTGTAAGTGGTTTCTTAAATTCTTTCTGTTAC